CGAGGAAGGCAGAACAGATGTCTTGCGAAGTAAAGTGAGCAGCAAAGAAAGCGAAGATGGAGCAAATCTGGCAGGGCTCCTGATCTGACTGACACAAGATTTTTCTTTTTTTCTTTTTCTTTTTTGTAAGGGCCAGTTTTACTGGGAAGAGGAGAAGAAAATCTACAACCTGGAGCTTTGAAATAAATTGTCACGGAGTCTTGGAAACCCAAAGATGGTACTTCTTTTCGGCAAAAATATACTTTTAAAACCATTCCTATTTCTCCTCATTACTGTACGTGATCGTAATTAAGCCAAAACGGCAAAAAAAGAAAAGAAAAAAACAATTACATTTAGCATTTAAAATGAAATACCTTCCTCGTTTGTAAATATGTTCTGTCCAAAGCTCCTCAAGCAGCATAGTTTCAGCTTCTCTCGGTTCAAAATCCATAAAAACAATCTCTTATTAAGCATGTTTTGCTATGCAATTATAAACAGGTTAATCAATAAATTGAACAGATTGTCCCTATGTAGGATAGTAGGAAAGGTTGAATTTTTCACATGCTAACCTTAAAAGTATTTATTTTTAACTGCAGGTGCATCCTTTGACCAAGTGTACACTAAAAAACATCATTATTATTTGCTATACTAAAATGTAATTGAATTGTTTATTTACATTTTCTTATGAATTTTGAATGTATGAAATAAGCTTAAGCAGTTTGATTAAAAGAAAGTGGCAATTTCTTTTGGCAAAATAGTTGATAGACAATTCTGTATTACAATGATAGCCCTTAGCTGTAGCCCTTTTTACGTTTATAGGAATCTTTACTCATGACTTTGCTGGATAACAAATATATCTTGCATCAAAATTTTCCATCTAAATAAATAAAAAAAGAGGGCTTTTTACATGTCTGCCAGTAACTGTCTGAGGAATAATAACCCTAAAAAAATTACAACCTACTCAGAAAATGCTAAATTGCGCCCGCAAAGCCGTGCCATCAAGTAATCACGGCCTCCTTGTTTCTCTCGTTAGTTGCACTGTTACCCGCTGAATATGTCGTACTTGCTCTATTCTCTGTGCCGTCGACCTCTGCTTTTCTCCCATGACCCAGAAAACAATGTTCACATCAGTACTGTATGAGGCCCTGCGCTCCAGCAGTGGAGGAGGTAATAGAGGCTATTTTAAAACATGCAGTGGAGGATGATCATGCAAACCTCCGCTGGATGTATGAAATGTAGACCAGGCTGGAGAGTTGGTTATATGTGTAGATGCAGAAATGGACGGACAGCTGAAGCATCGACGGATGCAGCATAGTAGGGTGTGTGTTAACATGCATGTGTGTGTGCTACACAACTGTTCGTGGTGCTAATGGGTGTAAAAGAAATCAGAGAAGTGGAAAAAAGAGAGAGATCCTGACACAGGAAGAGACAGAAAATACATCCCAGTATACAAACATGTGGAGTTGTAAGGAAACAAAGCTTAATTTTCTAGATGTAGCTTGCTAGAACCGCCAATATGAACCAGTTTCAACAAGAGATATTATGTCTAAGTAGAAGCTGGTATGTTTTTAGCTGTGATCTAGATAGTTGAACACATAAAAGATGATAAGTATCAAAATGTAGTTCAAGGATAAGATCATACCTGGTTGTGCCGTTGTATCGATAAATTAGAATATCACTGAAAAATGTGTTTAGTTTTTCATTCTTAAATTATTATGTATATTATGTAAAATGTACTTTTTTGAGCCTTGGATCATGTTATAAAGTAATTCCCCCATCAAAAATGTACCTGGAATTTTGCCTTGATTCTTTCATGTTTGAGAAATCTTTTAATCTCCCGTGGCAACCATTCAGTTGTGAATGCTCCTGCTCCGACTCTCTCTATCAATTCCTTCAGACTAGCCAGCAGTAATTAGCAAACGCCTGGTGGAATTTAAGCTAATTATACAAGCTACTTCTCAGTGAAACACCAGTTAAAAAAAAAAAAAAAGAAAAAAAGTTGTTTAAGGGTTAATAGAGGAGCAACGTTATGATAACTTCCTGGAGGCGGAGTTTCAGACAGAGTAGGAGTTTTTAAAGAGACAGAAGCCCAATTTCAAGTCGTTAAGTAATATTTCTTTTAAGTCATATTTGACATACAGCCTTTTCAGAACAACTGAAGGTAACATAGTTACATGATTCTGCTATAAAATGGTTTTTGGGTTAATCATTTTCACTTGGGTCGAATGCTATTTTTGCCCAACATCACTCCTTCTCTGTATCCACGAAGGCTAACCTCATTTGGTTCAAGTGAGGCCTGTTATTCTGGGTCCTCCAGGATTATTTGTTGATTTTTTTTTTTTTCCTGGAGAAATTCTGGTAACTGTTGGGAAGGTTGCCATGTTTTCTCAATTTGTAGATATTGGCTTTTTTTCTGCAGTTCACTGGAGTTTTAAAAGCCTTAGAAACGGTGTTGTAAACATGTCCAGACTGAAACATGTCAACGGGTGAGTTTTTCCATCTGCTCTTGAATTCTTGAATAATTGAGACAAATGATGTTTGAAATATTTTAACCTGCTTCATGCTGTTAGTTTCTATTTAGGTGATTTTGTTTTATTTGCAAGATCTGGTAGTAAGGGTTGGGAATGATAAGTATAATTGATTTGGAAAAATGTGATTAATCTTTATTTTTCTCATTTGAAAACTAATTTGTATGTACTTTTGTCGTCGTTGTCTGATATTAAACCTTATTTTATAATTTGACACATTTAACTGTGTCAAAAACTTAAAAAATAGAAGAAATATGTAGGATGAAAGGAACTTTCGCCCAAGACTGTTTAATAAATATATTTCGTGTGAGAAAATTTTGACAAATGGCCGTTTCCTCGCAGAAAATGAAACATTGCTCCTTAATCCAACACTGTTGAACTGCAGGGCGGATTTCTCAGTGGGAGAGGCAGTTTTCTTCTTCATTTTTCCGCAGACAAACAGAAAGTGACACATCCAGATGGACTTTTCATACAGAATTTAGCTGACCAGACCTTGGAGATCCCACAGCTCTGAATAATTCAATACGATTTGGATTCACACATCATTCCAAAAACTTCAGCGATCCTCAAAGAGAAACATTTTTTTTCCTTTAAAAATTAGCTTACAGCATCTTTCACAATGACAAGAAAAATTCAAATCAAAAATGACCTTCTTATGCGTTTTAAGTTCAACATGCGCTAAATAAAACAGTACTGTACGTCACGACTGTGTTTTTTTTTTTTTTTTCAAAATACGTTTTTTTTCGTGAGGTGCAAACGTCGGTCAAAACTTTACCCTTTTACACCACACAGTTAACTTTTTTTCTTTCAACTGCTTTAAGTTTAACGTTGGTCAAAAACAAAAACAAAAAAAACAACAACTTTCTAGTAGAAGATATCTGGGGCCACACTCCATGTGTTGGGACATTTGGAGAACATTTCTGTGCAAAGATGGGCCGAGACAAATAGGTGAGATTTCATCCACAATAAATTCTCACCCAGCCCACAGATTGGTTTGGGTTTATCAGAGTTTGAACCATTGGATCTTTTTTTTTTTTTTTCCTACAGCCCAGCAGTGCAAATAAAAAAATAAAAATAAAAATAGGCCGCCCTCTCAGGGTGTCCAAATGTTACAGTGTGATTTAGTCCTGCTGTGCAGACACTGCAGACACTCTCCTCTCTTACTTCTGTTTCTTCACTCAATTTCCACCCTGAGAAAGAATGCCGCAAGAGACGTCCGTAGGTCAATGGCTGGAGGAGAGGGGTCTGGGAAGTATGTGAGTGAAAGCGGTGCTGTAAAACATTCTAATGTGGAAAATTGCTCTGGTTTGGCTGAGTGCAATTCGGTGACTGTAAAATCCGGTGAGTTATGAATGTGTTTTTTTTTTTCCCCCTTTAAAGTAAAACAGCGCAGTCTACTTAAAAACTTAAGATTGTTTTTTTTATTATTATTATTATTATTATTATTAAATCACAAACCAACTTTTATGGCATGTTGTGTCCCTTCATTTTGTTGTGCATCTGTAGACATTTACAAAACATCTCACGATCCTATTACACCTGAAAATAGTTTAGATGAAGCAATACTTGTTTTTTTTTTTTTTATTATTCATGCCCATTTTTGGTACTTTAAATAGATAGTAGATCATTTGTTTTGACCTGAGTTGATCTAAGTAGTTTAGATATTGCTGATTGACTAACATGAAATTCAGAACACCATCTGAAGTATCAAGCAATTTCAGCATAGTTATTAAAATTGGACAATAACAGATTGAAAGAAGATTTTGCTTTTTCAAATATGTCTCAACTTCCACTCCAATATCCAAATGCAAGGGTAAGAATTTGGCATTTACATAAAAGCATGGATCCATCCTGTTTCAGGCTAATGATGATAGTGAGGTGGGGAGCTGTAGGGAGGGGATATTTTCTTGGCACATTTTCAGCCACTTTGTACCAATTGAGGATAATTTAAAAACCACTGCCTACCCCTGGCTCTGTATTTTCTGGTACAAATTCAATATTGCTTCCAAATGGGAAATGTGTGTGTGTATATATATATATATATATATATAATTTTAGTGTTTATATAAGTTGGATATACTGTATGCTACATATAAAATACCTTTATTTCTAAGAGATGATACTTGTAGGTAACAATCCCGTATTAGAGTCTACGTTTCAAAAGAAAAAATTCACTTATTTTAATAGACTACTCATAGATTTAGAATGGATTTATAAGTATCCCAATTTGTAAATAACATATGTCAATATCTATCTATCTATCTATCTATCTATCTATCTATCTATCTATCTATCTATCTATCTATCTATCTATCTATCTATCTATCTATAATATTTATGCTACTGATGTGTAATGGGCTAAGTGAATTATTATTGCAATGACTGGGGATTCCCCATCATCCTCCACCTCCTCCTCCTCATCATCATCATCATCACCACAACCCCTGTCTTTGAGCCCAGCGCACTATTTAGCAGCGGCAGATTCTCCTCTCCGCCCGCGCGGAGTAATTTGCGGATGTGAGAAGGCTCCACTTGTCAGTCAGACTTTGAACTGTGCACTGGCGCTCATCACTGCTTATCTCTGACCGCTGCTTGTCATCAAAGACGCCGGCCACTGACACTTAAAATCGACGAGCTCAGATGTAAAGATTAGGATGAACAGTTGCTAAGAAAGAGAGAGAGAGCGCGAGCGAGAGAGGAGGAAAAGGAAAAAAAAAGGGAAGCCCGGAGAGCATCACTGTAAGGGAGCAGAGCGGGGATTAAACGTTCGCTACGCCGTTTAACGTTCACGTTGCTCGGGAGTTGAGATGGTCCAGACCAGGAATGTTTTTTTAGCCTTGCTTCTTGTGGGCAGCATAGGTAAGAATCTTTAACATGCTCTTTTTCACGTGTTTTTATTTTATTTTATTTTATTTTATTTTGAATACTCCGTCCCATTCTTTTTATTTGTGGTCCAGGACCGCAGGCACTCTCTTGCCTCCTCCGCCCGCAGGCACTCTTTTATTTAGCAGGTGTGACGGTGCTGCGACTGCTGCTAATTAGCTTCCAGGCGGGCTGTGTGTCCAGTAAAGACAGCTTGCTGGCTAATATTTTTTTTTTTAATGTTGTTGTTGCTATTTTCATGTTCTCTCAAACATACATGCACACGCGCGCGCGCGGAAGCACAACTCAGCTGGTTGCTAAAAAAACCGCTGCTCCTCGCGTGGCACAGCCTCTGCGCTGACTTTGCATTGTTGTACACAGTAAATAAATTAGGATGCAGTGAGATTTAAAATCGTGTGCGAGCGCGGTGTTTGTAGCGAAGTGTGACTCAGGGATTATTGAGGTTTGTGATTTGAGAGTCGTGTCTACGTGGGCCGTTGCTCTCTCTGCTCAGATGGGACGTGTTTGTTGTTGATGGAGAGTGATGCTGGGGCTCCCTTGTGTGCGTGTGTGTGGACACAGGCACAAGTGCGCGGAATCGAACACGCCAAGCACATCGTGTCACTAACTCTTAAGAATACAAATTGTGCAAAAATTATATATGTGTGTGTAGTAAATGAAGAAATAAAACGTGTTTTGACGTGCACCTGTCCGTTTGCAGTACGATGGTGACATCCTGGAGGTGGGGCTTGCAATGCACATGAACATCAAGGGTCTGTCAGGGGCAGTCGTGGGTTACACTAGATGCACAGCAAGCACAACTTCCACTCTGAATCATCTGTTGTGTAATCAGATGCCACGATGCAGGCTTTGAAATGAGATCCTCTAAGTTGTTAAACGCGCCCTTACGTAAGTCTAATTGAGGGAGTTTGTGTGAAATTACATTTTAATGACATTTTGCACGCCCTCTTTTGATTAACGCCGGTGATTTTTTTTAATTCCTCTCTCCCTTTTCTGAAGTGTGCGTGTGTGGTGCTTATGTTTGAAGTAGTGCTCTTAGCTACACCAGGCTCAGGATTTTCCGTGGGTTAGCCTTTTAATCCTTCATGTACAATCCGATGTGAAGGGGTGTTCCTCGGGCGAGAGAGGAAAACGCAGTGGGAGTGGAGCTCTCACTGCATTGTCATGGTAATACAGCCCTCATTGCATAATTTTTTTTGGTACAATATCAAGAAAAAAAAAAAGACACTGCAAGAACCTCTTGAGTATCACTGTGTACATTTATTTAAATGGTCTAACTCTTGTAGCTGTTATTTTGAAAACCATTTAGAACCAATTACACTCAAACACACCCCTTGGAAACCCACATAGTAATTTGCTGACGACTTGTGAATTTTTGAAGAAAACTAAGTTTTTCAAGGGGAAATTTGCTGAGATGAAAAAATGTTTATCTTTGAAGATTTAGTTCTCTCTTTGAAAGGAAGCTTGGTAAAAAATAATAATAAAACAAATATATTCTGGGGCTATAAATGGCTTAGAAATGTGCTATTAAGAATTTGGTATTTACTGATGCACGAGCTAATAATTCAGTTATTATTCAAAAGCACGTTTTTTTTTTTTTTTTTTTACATTTTAGTTAGAATAGAAGAATATATATATCCTTTATATATTCCTCAGTGGGGAAATTCAGGTGTAACAGCAGTAAAGTGACAGGCATACAAAGCATGTAGGTTCACACAAAGATAAAAATATAAAATATATAAAAAATAGAATTAAGAATGATGTATGGTACAGTAAGAGCAAAAATACATTATAATATGCAGTTAATAAATATAGCATGCTGAATGGTTCTGGAATTTTTATGTTTGTCTGTCAGTTAGGAAATCTGTTAAAAAGTAGATTTACAAATCAAAACAGTGTTTTTAGTACCTGAATTTAATATAGAAATTTCCATTCCAGTTCTGCCTATCTATACAGCTACCGTGTTTTTCATGGTTCCCATTCTGAGGTGATTCAAAGGCCAATTTGCATTTACAGCAACATAGTTTTATCCTACATTCCAAGCTATGTTTGGTAGAGTAAATTATTAGTGTATGATAATCCAGATCCACATCAGGTTTAACTTGTGTAAACATTTGAAAATCACGATGGGGAGGATCAAATGCAGTCCAAATCTGTCAAAAATCATGGGAATAGTTAAATTTGCTTGATTCAGCCTGAATCAAGCAAATTCAGACTCAAATATATGTGATCATTATTGTAATAGTAATAAACTTGGCAAAAAAGAGGATATAAATGTATATATCTCATTATCAAGTAGGTTTCTTTACTACACCAGAGGAATTGTTCCACTAAGCAGCAGACCATAATTATAAAAAAGAAACAAAAACAAATCATAACTGATTATTTTTTAAATAAGTTGATATTTTAAATAATGTTCACATAGTAACCATTCCGAACGTAATGCATATTTTGAGAATTCATGGATGATCATCATAATAAATCTCAATTCTTACAATATTTTTTTTAAATAATTCCTAGTGAAAGAGAATGTTTGTCTGTGCCATATTTTGTTTCGACCTGTGTGCCCACCTAGATAGACAACAGTTCAAACATAAATGAAAGACAACCTTTTCTTTCTTTCTTTCTTTTTTTTTTTTGAAGGACTTGTGCCACCCCTAACAGGAAGGCACTCTGGGCTGTGAGCCATAATGTAAAAAATTATCACAAATCAAGAGTTATAGATGAGTGTTTAGGGGAGAATTATTAGTTAGTGGAAAATTGCACAATGTAAAGTTGACACAGCTTTAAAATTACTAACCAATTATTTAATATATTCCAGTGCCAAGTAATGTTAATATTTGTAATCTTCACTTTTCTTGAAAACCTAAAATAAAATATTATCCTAGAGTACTTTGAAAGAAACCTGATTTAGTAATTTCCTTAATGACAAAACTTTTCATTGAAGTTCTTCCTTATTACCTTACAAAGTAATAAGGAACAACTTATTACCTTATTACCTTTACATGTATTCAACTACTTACAGCCATACATTTCGTTAGCAATAGTCATTGCTGTAAGTAGTTGAATGTAAACGAAATAAAATCCTCATCTTTAAACTGCCGGTTGTAGGGCAGGACTGCTAGCAGCTTTAATGACTGAACTGAGATTCAGGAGGGATTAACCCTCTTTCTGTTCCCTGTCCTGTAATTGATCCTCTTCCAACTGATAACCGCTAACGTGGATCCATTTTCAAAGATGAATTACAGCCGTAGAGAACGAAGCCAGACTAGATAAGAGATTAGTTCTAAACGTCTTTAAATCGTGGGACGTCTCTGTGTCTCACCATATGGCACCTTTGAATAGGAGAAAGCGGCTTTGTGCTTTACAGTAGGGTTGGTTCACTGAGGCTGTCTTACATCATCAGTCATGTGGAAATTATGACGTAGCTCCGTGCTGCTCTGTTTCTAAAGCAAGATGGAAGCAGGCTGACTTAGGAAAGCTCCAGCCCTCCTTACGACTGACTTTAGCTTTGTGAGGATGGGAGCCAGCGCTGCTATAAGCAACGGCTGCGAGTCCAGCAGCTCCAATTTGATAAAAAGTAATGATTTCAGACTAGCGTGCATATCTTGCAGAGGCAAAAATAAACTGGATTTCCCCCCTAAAGCAAGCAGCAGAGCATCTATTTAATCGTTGTGATTTAACTGTCCCTGGCAAAATCTATTTGTTTTTGTATTAAATAATTATCCTCTTTGGAATAATTTACTTCTGTTAACACCAATTGCAACTACGTGAAAATGTTAAGTTACTGCAGTTAAGCCTGTCGCAATAAGCAATTAATCAGTCGGGTGACAAATTAAAATGAGCTCGATAATTTCCATTGTGATAGGGCAATTTTGTTTACAGCAACATCAGAATCCATTTTATTTCCAGTTTCGCTTGTTTTTTTTGTTTTATTTCCATTTTATTTATGATTTGTGGTTGTGTTTTATTTTTTTACATTTAAAGTATCTTTCAGTTCCCGTGTTAAGTTTTCTTTACACAGTTAAAGCTTATTGGTCTTTTGAGAGGGTGAGCTTGCATTATTATGCCTCATCAACATATTACATATAAATGGTGTCAATAACAACAATATTATTGTTTATTTCAATAATTACTGCGAGAATTTATTATATGGCTAAATCTATAATAGTAACAGTGCAGTTGGGGGAGTGATGACCTCTTTACCAACTCTGTAACAAAGATGTCGCTCTGTTTTTCAGCAAACTTTACAAAACTAATGAGATTTATGTCTTGTACTGTCAAACACAACTCTGTAAAATTGAATAAAAAGCCTGTAGCTGTAGAAAGCCTGACAGAGAACTCAAACCAAAAGTAAAATATTGTAGTTTCAACTCAATTGCTGTTGTTTTTCCCATCATAGCTAAAGGAATAACATAAAGGTGACCGGACTAGAAGATCTAACCATTTGTTTTATGTGGTAGGTCAGTGGAGTACTAGAGAATATAGATGCACATTTAAAAATGACATAATTTCATCTATTTATGGTTAAGGTATCCTTATCTTTAACAATTTAGGCAACATTCAGGCAATGATTTCTGCCAAACCTGTAGAATGAAGAAATCACTGAAATTTAATAATTTGACGACACAATGCAGGCTAAGAGGCCTCAAACAACAAAAAGACAATCTGTAAGACTTTGGATGCTTAGAGATAGCAAAGCTCAGTTCGAGACGTTATCCACAAGTCAAAAAAATACGAAAAAAGGTGAGCCTTCCAAACAGTAGATGGTCCTCCGATTTACCAAATTTACTCCAAGAACGTGTTGATGACTCACTCATGCAGTCATAAAAAGACCCTGAACAACTACTAAAGCCAGTCTCACTTGCTTCAGTTAAGGTCAGTGGACAAACATGGCATTCATGGTAGCAGTCAAAGGTGACAATTTAAAAAAAAACAAAAAAAAAACAACTCCATTATCCCTTAGACATTTAGGA